GAGGCTTAAGAACTTCTTAAATAAATTGTGCATCCTTAGTGAACTACTGTTGTCCTCCAGCATGGTCTTTCTATTTGTATACTATGGTGCTCAGTTTTGCCTCTGTCAGAAATTCACTGTTGATGTGATAATGTGGATCTCCTCTAAAAATGACAGTATTGTCTGATAAGATATCTATACTAATAAAAAAGCATGTGTATAAAACCTGTGACATTTATTTTCCCTTTAGATAATTTATTTTTCCCCTAAATTTTCTGAGATACAAAGTTTGAGAGTTTACTCTTATCAGTAAGGTAAGATTTGATTCACTGCTCTTAATTAATAGCATTTCTTATATTTTGGTAGAGATGAAAACACGTGTTTTTTCATCTTCACCGGCCCAGAATGTCAAAATAAATGAAGCTTGCAAAAGTGATCAAGGAGTGCAATGTGGGGATGAGGCAAACCTTCCCTTTTTTGGTASGGTTCCAATTCCTAGTGAATCTCTAGAATCGAGGTCTTAGGTAAGGATTTTCTTGTTTTTGTTCTTTTTGGACAATGATAAATTAAAGACAAATACAGCTTTATTTCTTAAATAAATTGTATGCCATAAAATAGCAGATATGAACACCACAAAACTTCCCCTTAAAGTTTATTTGAAAATAAATTATGTCAGAAATTTACTTTTAAGACAATGATAGAAACTCACAAGTTAATGTTTAAAAATAAGATTTCATCTTTATAATTATTAAAGCTAGAAACTGCTGTCCATAGTCATTATTCCTGTTTGCTTACAATCACATTGTTGGGCGGGTAGAGAGCCTGGGAAGGCAGGTGAACTGAGCTGTGATATAAAGCAGGGAGTTTCCAAGCTTCAGGACATTATGTTAACAGGCAATGACATGTTCAAGCCCCATGCTAAGGAACCACCAAGACACAAAAGTTCTGAGGGGCGTTTTCATTGTAAGAAGTCTTCTGCTAACTTGTTGAATTCATTAGCAAAACGTAAATGCAGGTTGTGTTTGCCTTCTGGCATAAGATGTAACCTTAAAAAAAAAAAAAAGCTTCTGATTAATGGTACACTATTTAAAAGTCCCTTCATCCCAACATTTCAGGAAAACATATTTCACTACTGCTGTATATTTTTCTCTGACTGCCACTGGGGAGGTGTAAGAGTAGACACTTTCCATGAATATGGACATAAGGTGAACCCCCTTGGAGGTTCTTTTTTTTTTTTTTTTTAATATTTATTTTTTAGTTCTCGGCGGACACAACATCTTTGTTGGTATGTGGTGCTGAGGATCGAACCCGGGCCGCACGCATGCCAGGCGAGCGCGCTACCGCTTGAGCCACATCCCCAGCCCCCCCTTGGAGGTTCTGACCACTATGAAGGTTTACTGTAATTACTTAATAGTGACAGAAACCCATGGCATTTGGAAAGACATCAGGAAACAAATAGTATTACTGGAAAATACGGTGGTGAAGGTGACAGAGTGGTTACTTAAAAAATCTAGCTGGGCTGGGATGTAGCTCAGTGGTAGAATACTTGCCTACCATGCATGAAACCCTGGGTTTGATCCCCAGCACTAATCAATCAATCAATAAAATTCCACTTTAATAAAGTTGATTTTAAGAGAGAAGGTTGTAAAGATATTTTTTAAAGTTTTTTTTAAAAAAAGGAGATGTCCAGAAACCATGGGGTCTGGGTGGGTGTTTCTTAGGGTATCCATGTAGCTGGAAAAACAAATCAGAATTCACAGCTGCCTTTCAAGGTTCCAAGTCATCCTGTCAGTTTTGGAGTACTRAGCAAATAAGCCTGAATACAGTTACCAGACAAATGGCAAAATTCCTTAGGACCGCCAGGACAGCAGGGCCCAAGTCYGCAGCCCTGCATTCAGAGCCACTTGAGCAGCTGTCACACCCCATCTTGGTAGCCACCCACTGTCCTTGTAATGCTTCTTCCTTTCAAYAGGATTTTGTTGAAAGGAGACTGATTTGCAATTTCTTGAAAAAAGACAATTTTCTGAGTACACTAGCTACCAAAAGTAGCTAATCATAAATATTTTAAACAAAGCTTCTAGGATATAAGCACAAGTTCAAGACATTTTGTCTACAATGACAACTGGATTTTAAAAGGAATACACAGGGAGCAAAACTCCAGTTACCACACTATTTAGAGCTCCAATCCTTCAGCACCAGGGGGCTAAGAACTCTCAGTGGGCACTAGGGAGGATGGGTGGGGAAGGGAATTGTCCCTGGAAGACGTTGGCTCTCAGGCTGGGGATGTGGCTCAAGCGGTAGTGCGCTCGCCTGGCATGCGTGCGGCCAGGGTTCAATCCTCAGCACCACATACAAACAAAGATGTTGTATCCACCGAAAACTAAAAAAAAATAAATATTAAAAAAAAAAAAAAAGAAAAAAAAAGATGTTGGCTCTCTTGCAACTCAGCCAAGGGAGCCTAAGACAACCAACTAGAAAGGTAGAACGTTGACATCTTTTGAAAGTTCTTGGAAGGCTAATAATGCTATTAATCACTAGAACACTCTAAATTCAATTTTAATGCTGTTTAGAAAAGAATCAGCCCCCACAACAACCCCAAAGACAGGATCCAGTTGCCCTACACAAGAAATGCAGCCTTCAGGGGATGCTCAAAGCCTCTGTTTTTAGAAGGAAAGAACCAGTTGCCAAGGATGTTGAAAGGCAATAAAAAGGTAGTTTAGGCCAAAATACATCCCCTGATGTGTATTCTGAGGCAGAGCCCCAAATGGCCAAACTTGAAGTCCTSTTCAGTAACTGTCCAACAGTCACATGGCTACCCTGTTTTTACAATTTGTTCATTCCTATAAGGGAGGAAAGAGATACCAGCTGTGCAGTCTTTCTACTAATGCTCTAGTTCTTGGGGAAATAAAAACTGGGTCCTTTTCACTAATAAACATGGGAGACCTGCTCTGGATACCAGATGGGTGGGCAGGTGGATGGATAGATGGATGGGTGAGTGGATAGATGAGTGAAGGGATACATGGATGGACGGATGAACAAAAAAATGAAAATATAAAAAAATTATTTTTACCCTTAATACCTTTTGGGAACTATTTTGAGGTTCTTAGTATACCTCCCTCCTTTACAAAGGACACAAAATTTACTCTACAGGAAACCTGTCTTCTGTTCCTCTTTGGGAAGAGGACTACAACACAAAGGTGTAAATATTGGCTGTCAAGGGCATGGAACAATTGTACCCCTAACCTTACTCTTACCCAGATAACAAAAGGATCTAATTACATGTCCCCTGGACAGTAATTTTCAAATAATCACATTCTCCAGGAAACTGGTATGAAATACTCCACCACTAAACACATGGCTGAGTTRGAAATGAAGGGGCTTCAGTGGGTGGGCATAAATTCCTATTCACTAGGGCAGGTTATACATAATATTTGGAACCTTTAGAAAGAGAGACATAATTCTAGATCTTTTGGGGAATTAGAAGCTGTCTAGCCTGACAGGGTGAGTCCAGAGGTCACCTTATCTCTGCTTAATATAGTCCTGGGTGATGCTGGCATGGGTGTGACACTAGCCTTACCATGTTAGCTTTCCTTCCCACTCTCAGCTCTTTTGGTTTCCATATTGAACTCTGAGAGCTATAGATAGTGACAAGGCTATAAGAAATGTCTGCTGGGTGTCTTTGCTTTGGATGAAGTGTGATAGAACTTTTAGTTATTTACAAGCCTATAAAATTGCCAGGAACAATGCGAACACTTCTACTTTCATTAGAAAACAAAGGAATTGCTGATTCTTTGAATGAGGATCTCTTCCATTATGAAAGTAGACAGCAATATGGCTGTAGGGAGGCCTTGTCACTACACCTACTCCTTCCAAGGTCATGCAAACCTGGTTGCCCATAACAGCTCCTTTTAACTCAAAAACAAAACCTTTCTATTTTTATTCAGCTCCTTCTAGAATGCCCTAAAAAAAAGATAATGTCAGGTGGCTGCAAGCTCCTTCCATCTGGTAGAGCTGGRATTGGGCAAGGACAGCTTTATTCAACCAGGCATTTGGGAATGATGGGTGAACATCTCACTAAGAAGTTCCTTTGCTCAAATGCAATCATGTCTCAAGTATTAGGAAGAAAGGAAACTAATTCAGAGGCTGCTTTTTGGGSAATGCTGTAGCTTGGAGTGGACCATTGCTACTGGGTTGGCTGGATTGATGCTTTTACATGGGATATAGAGGACAAAGTCTCCAGGAATCTGGGTGGGGCCTTCTGACTGTAGTGAAAGCTTTCTTTCCATGGCAGCTGGATRTAAACGAGAGGTGCCATCAATGGATTAAAAAACACATGCAACRGAAATATTATAAATCAAAAAATCCATTTAATACATTTCTCCTGTCTATCCTACCTTACATCATAGCTTAGGCTAGCCTACCTTAAATGTGTTTAGTACACTTACATTAACCTAAAGTTGGTCAAAATCATCTAACACCAAGTCTGTGTTGAACATTTCATGTAAATGAATACTGTACTGAAAGTGAAAAACMGAATGTATTGTAAAGCTGAAAACCTAAGCTGAACCATGGGTAAGCCAGGGACTATCTATAAATCTCTGTCACTTTTTAATGGCAGCCCTAGCTGATATACATCCTGAGCACACACTTGGCTTGACCTAGCTGTGTAGTCACATCCTCTTCTGAGTAGGCCTAGCCCTGCTGCCTCCCAGGGGCTATCCACCCTGACCCTAGAGTTTGATGGGTGTCAACCTCTGCTCAACAAGAATCTCTGAAAGTGAGCCGAGGGTGGCCTCACAGGTAATGCCATGCTTGGTAACAGGAGGTTGTCACATAGAGGCCTGTGGACGAGACACATGGGAAGCAGTGTYGGCACTTTCCTATCTAGGAGGGAGCTCTGGACATACAAGGGGTATCCAGGGGCTGGGCCCCMGTACAGGACATGAAGGGCAGGGTTGGGTTCCACTGCTGCTGTGATCAGAGCAGCTCTCACTGTGTTTTGCATATTGGCCTCTGCATAAGAGTTTGTTAGGGGGAGGGATTCAGCTGCCTAAAAACAAACATTTAAAACCATAAATTTGAATGCTCTGTAAGGCCTCTTTACTTCCACACGACTTTATATTTCCTCTCTCACAAAAAGAGAAAAGCAAAAGAGGAGGAGACAAATAAACATAAGCTGGAAGCAGGCCTCTCCCGAGAAGGGAAGGCAGCTTGGTGTTTACTTCACATACAATATGTATTCCTTGGTAAAAATCTGTGAAGGCATAGGCTATGCCGTCAAGTGTAACTAAACATGCACCTGGCAAGGCAGGGAAAAATCAGGTTCACCAGAAGCTTGCAATGCTACGCTGCTTCCCTATTGTCAGATTCTGGAGCACAGAATCACAGTAGGATTTTGGTACTCAAGAAATGCATCTTCTTTTTGTGGGCTCCTAAATAACCAGTTGTAGTCTAGGTAGGTTCATGACCAATATAAAGTGCTATTTTTAGTGGAGAAAGTAGAAAATACAGGCCAGTTTTAGATAATAATTGTTAATAACATTTACCTTTAACCTAATGATTCCAAAGAATAGTGCTGTGAGAAAATGATCTTCCACAAGTCTACTGAAGCAGCTAATAAATGCATGGTAAGGGTGTATTCTCTCCCATATTGATATATTCTGTTGCTAGGAGATAGGTCTGGAATAGAAGTACTAAACTAAACTATTTTGCCTTTACTTTTATTGAACCTGGCTTTTTAAGAGGACACATTGCATTTACTATAGGTGTCAGTGTGAAAAATACCTGTCATTTCTGAAGCTGAAGTTAGAAAACAATTAACAGGCCACTCAGTATATTATTCCCAGCATTTTACCATCATAGAAAGAGTACATTTGTGAAAATCAGCTGTGCTATGCTGGAAAAGCACTATATTAGGAGGAGAAACTCTAGGATCTTTGCCACCTTGAAAGATGGCTTAATATTGTTCAGCCTTGGTTTCACATCTGTAAAATGGATATTTGTTCCATGATTGTCATGGCATATAATTAGATTTTATACGTAAAATTCAATTTTTAAATTTAAAAATAATGCCTATATGTAAGCATCACATTATACACTGTATATAATATTAAAATAAAACAAAGATAGATTATATAGAAAACTTTTAGGATTAATAAGAAAATATTTTGTTTGAATTTTGTACCACAACCATGACAAAGTATTATAATATTATAAAAGTCTAGTTTGAAAATGCCTTATTGCCTATTAAATCAATGTATAAACTTTTCTATTAAATCTTTACATTCACCAAAAACATAATCTTTTATATATATATATATATATATAAAAGAGTTTAGTTACAGATGGACACAATTCCTTTATTTATTTTTTTATGTGATGCTGAGGACTGAACCTGGTGCCTCACATGTGCTCTATCACTGAGCCACAACCCCAGCTCCCCAAAATATAATCTATTTTTTTTTAAAGAGAGAGTGAGAGAGGAGAGAGAGAGAGAGAGAGAGAGAGAGAGAATTTTCAATATTTATTTTCTAGTTCTCGGCAGACACAACATCTTTGTTGGTATGTGGTGCTGAGGATCGAACCCGGGCCGCACGCATGCCAGGCGAGCGCGCTACCGCTTGAGCCACATCCCCAGCCCCCAAAATATAATCTTAATCTAACTTCTACTTTTATTCTTCACTTCCTCTATGTCCTAGTGAACACCTAAAACTCCACCTTCCCTGCTTCTTTTCCTTCCTGTGGCTTCTCTCATTCACTGAGACTTTGCAGGCACGGGTGGTGACGCGGTGCCTGAACTCACCGTGACCCTTTCACATGCTCATGTATGAAGTCAGCATGAAAACGTGGGACCAGAGGATCCTTCTCTCCATGCACAATTAGGGTGGGGCACTGAACCAGGGGCAGCAAGTGCCGACAGATGTTACCTGAAAGACAAAGAGCATGAGGAATCTACCGAAGCGTAAAGAGGAAGAACTGAAGCATAACCACTCTGCAAGGTGAGAAAGAAAGAATGCACAGAGGCTTCCTGCTACAGTCTGGATCTTGAATGGGCCCACGTATTAATGGCTTGGTCACCAGAGAAGTGCCACTAGGGAGTGTGGAACCTTCAGGATGTGGGGCCTTGTGGGAAGACTTTAGGTCACTTCGATCAAGCCTTTGAAGGTTATTGTGGGAACCTTTTGCTCCCTGACTTCTGAGGTAAGCAGTTTTGCTCTGCCACAGACTCCCACCATGATGTGCTGCCTCATCAGAGACCCAAAGTAACTGGGCCACTCGGTCATGGAAGCTTCAGAACTGGAAGCCCAAACAAACCCTTTCTCTTATAAGTAAATTATCTGAGGTATTTAGTTATAGCAACAGAAAACTGACTAATACACATACTCCTCTTTGGATTTCAGTTTTTCTGTAAAAATAATGGTTTAGATTTGGGGTTCTCTACAGATCTAATATTTTTGGGGTTTCCTTTTCTATTTTTTTTTTTGGTTATTGTTTGGTTTTAAGCTCTACTAGCAAACAAAAAGCTTTGCTTGATTAAAATTCATAATTCATATGAATCAGAAGAAAATCAAACAAAAGGAAATACCACAATTCTTTATATTACATAGGAGGTGGCCTATCTGCCATGTGCAGGTGCTCGAAGTCACGTCTCCAGGCGTGTGGGCCTCACAATGAAGTTACGATCTGTATGCAGAAAATAAGCTTCTCTTCATGCTTGTGCCTTGGTGACACCCCTGGCCACCATACCTTGAGAGAACATGAGGATCTAGCTCCTATTCATAACATTTTTGAGGCAATTATGGATAATCTGGGCTGCAGTTCCTGTCTTTCTCCTGCCTCTGAAATCTTTTTTTWAAAATTATTATTATTTTTTTTAGTTGTAGTTGGACACAATACCTCTATCTATTGATTTTTATGTGGTGCTGAGGATGGAACCTAGGGCCTYGCATGTGCGAGGAGAGCGCTCAATCGCTGAGCCACAACCCCAGCCCCTGCCTGCCTCTGAAATCTTGGTGGCTCTTTAGCCACTTTGAGCTTCAGCCTGAAATAGGAATGATCATAGTTTCCTGGGTTGTTGTGAGGCAAAAAGAGAGCCATACTGAAGGTTCTGGGCATCCATAAAGCTAGCTCCTCCTTGTCCTTCCTTTTTTTTTTTTTTTTTTCTTTTATGTTGTCCTTCCTTTCTTCTCTGCTCACACAGGCACCACCACTGCCCTCCTCTTCAGTTGGAGGTAGCTGTCCACCAACTGAGAAAGTGACCTGTTGCCTGGGGAAAGACTTCTCTTGGTCTCTGAAGCTTCCTGCTCCTGTCCCTGGGACAGCATGAACCTGCCAACTGTGTAATCAGATGACAATGACGAATGCCAGTGTCACTGAGTGCTCACTGTGTTTCAGAGCTATTTAAACCACTGCATATTTGTTCAGGCTTTACGGTAGTTACATGTTTTGACTCACTTTGTATGTACAATTATTTGTAAATTAAGTGCTTTTAAAATAACAATAACAACAGTCTTTCATGAAACACTCCACTTGTGGTACTATACCACAGGTGAAATGAATTATCTCAGCTAATCCCCACAACGACTTTATGAGATAGCTAATCATATGCGCGATTCACAGACAGGACGCTGAAGCTTAGACAAGTGAAGTCATCGGTCCAAATCCACCTTAACAGCAAGTCGAGTGGAAAAGCCAGAATTCAAACATTGGCCTTTCTGACTCCAAAGCTGCACAATTAATCCCTAGTACCCATAAACCTGAGCGTATAGTGATAAGCAAGAGCTCCAGTCAAATTAATTAGCATAGAAGGGAAATAAGTTATGCACAGTATTGCTGGGGATGACTTCTACACTGCTCAATCTTATGAGGGAGTTATTATTATTTTCATTTGCTCATTTAACTCTGCATTTGGATCTTCCTAACTTTTCATTGCCCTCTTCAATAAAGCATAAAACTGTACATTTCACAATGTAAACCCTTCAGTGGGGAACTGTCCATTGTTTCATGGCAATTTTGTTGTGTTTTAACAGTGGAGGGAAGTATCTTTCAAGGACCTGCTTCTATGGGTGGATGCTGTGTTTGATAGTATCATTATAAGGCATGTATTTGCTGTTTCAAACTTAAACCAGAAATGTAACATTTCCAAAAGTCCTTTTCATTGTGAAAGTTTTGATATAACAGATGATTCATGCTGTAAATGACTGTCTAATATATTAAATTTGTTCTTCCATCACAAGCATTTTATAACTGAATGTGTTCAAAGATTAAACCTTAGCCATTCTATTCTTTCAGCAATTAAAAACAATAACAACAAAAAAGAGAACAGGCATTCCAAACACAAATAGCTTGCTATAGCTTGGATCTTAAATGTTCCCCAGAGGCCCAAGCATTGAAGTCCTGTTTCCCAGAGTGGCACTATTGGTAGGTTGTGGAACCTTTAAAAGGTGAGGTCTAGGGGGAGGTCTTTAGGTCACTGGGGCATCCCCTCAAAGGGGATTGTAGGACACCATCTATTCCTCTTTTCTTTTTTTCTCCACTTTGCAGCCCTGGGATGACTTAGCTATTCTACCTGCTCCCACTATGATGCACTGCTTCACCACAGGCCAAAAAACAAAAGGGCCAGCYGACCATGGACCAAAACCTCTAAACCTTTGAGTCAAAATAACCTTTTTCTTTTATTAAGTTGATTATCTCAGTATTTATTTAAGTTACAGAAAGATGACTAACACAGATTGGTATAAAAATAGACTAATTCTGAATTTCTTTTAAAGATTCAATTTTTACTATTCATGGAAATCTTGTTAATTTTTCAGAACAAAAAAAGGGAGAGACATTTGTTCATGGCTAAGGTCATATAACTTAGTTCTGAAGATGAGTAAAGAACTACATACTCTCAGCTGGGCATGGTAGTACATACCTGTAACCCCAGTAACTTGAGAGGGTGAGGAAGGAGGATTGCAAGTTCAAGGCCAGACTTGGCAATTTAGTAAGTCCCTAAGCAACTTAGCAAGACCCTGTCTCAAAATTGAAAAAAAAAAAAAAATTAAAAAGGCTTGGGACATAGCTCTGTGGTAAAGTTCCCCTTTGCTAAGTCCCCAGTCCCAAACCAAACAAAACTGAGTATTTTCTTCCCATACTAATACTGCTGGAATTAAAGCTAAGGACAGAAATTTCCTCCTTTTTTGTTGCAGGAAGAAGAGTGTGTAGTGAGGTGACACATCTAAATGGATAAAGGGGGGAAAATATTGTCTTCACCACGACTTGTTTTCTAATTGCCTAGGCTGGAATTAGAAAATAAAAACCAAACCAAGGATTCTGGAGAATTCATTTGTCATTATATACACAAAGGAAAAAAGAACAGTCTGCTATTAGAGGCTCAACATTATGAATCTTTACGCAAGCAGTACTGTCTCGAGTTTAAAGCAGATTTAGTATGCAAGAGCTCGTACTGTGTACAATATCTAGTGTTCTCTGTTCACACATTTATATATAAGGATAGTGGGTAAATTCATCAATGGCTGAGGAATGCAGAACAACCAGGGAGAACTCAAGCATCTTCTCATAAGGATGGCCATTAAGCAGTTCATGCAACCTACCATCTGGTAGATGTTTAAACTGTCCTATGCCATCCACCCACTTTTCACAGGTTTTGGCAAGGTAGTCATATCCATACAGGGCTTCTAGAGGCTTCCTTGTTTTTTCGCTCCATTTAGAAACATCTCGGATACCTGAAAAACAGAAGTGTGGACAAGGATGGAGTCAGACTAACACTAAGGTATTCTTTTTTTTTTGGTACCAGAGATTGAAACAAGGGTGCTTAACCACTGAGTTGCATCCCCAGTTCTTTTTATTTTGAGACGGGGTCTTGCTAAGTTGCTTAGCGCCTTACTAAGTTGCTGAGGCTGGCTTTGAACTTGCAATCCTCCTGCCTCAGCCTCCTGAGTTACTGGGATTACAAGTGTGTGCCATCACACCTGGCCTAAAGTATTATCTTTAAATATCACCAGCACAGGCCTCCTTGAGCCTCCTGCTCACTGTTCCATCTGCTTGGGACGGCCTTCCCTGGTAACTGCACAGCTCAATCTGTGATACTCAAGCCAAAGGGACTCCATTTTGTTTTATAATTCCATTTTGTAAAACAACCATGCCAAGTAGAAGGGTCATGGTCAGGGCAAGATGTTCTTTTCCTTTTGCTATAGAAACCTTTAAGAACATGGAACTACCTAATGGGGTATTGTTTCTGTAACTGGGGTGACTGGGTTAATTGTGATTGGTTAAGCATCTGACTGCACTCTCCCGCTTCTGTAACCTGGCTTGCTTGCATAGGCTGGACCCCCAAATGTCCCTTTTGAGGTTTTCAAGCTTATAAGGAGTGCTCTTGCAATTGTTCAGGGCTGATCAGGGGAACAGCTTTATGTTCTTGTCAGTCGCCACTGGTGTGCTTCAATAAAGGCTTGATCTGATTATACGTGAATAGTCTGGAAGTCAATTTATGAAACCTTGGGACGAATCTTTAACAAATCCTCCAGGTCTCCATTCAGATGTCAGCCAGCGTCTCCTCCCCATTAGCAACTGCCACAGTTTTGCACCCTTTTCTGCATTTGTGGCTGAATGTCTATCTTCCCATCAGGATATGTACCCAGATGTAAGGGCTTTTGCTTTGTGCCCTGGGGCCTAGGCCTGTGCCTCCCACAAAAAAAGGCCCACAATAAATATTTACGAAGTGAATGAAATTAGACCTGTACCAAGTGCTTTCTCTTAAAAGTAAAAGATAAAAGAAAACACTCCTCTTACTAGGGTTGACTGGGTAASAGTGACACTCCAGCCATCTCTCCTGTATGTGGGAGGATTCATTTCAGGATCCCCTGTGGACTTCTAAGTCTGTGGATGCTCAAGTCCCTGATATAAAATGGCATGATACTTACACAGAATCCATCCACATCCTCCTGTACACTTTAAACAATCTCTAGACCATTTATAATATCAAATACAATTTAAATGATTATATATATATATATATTAGTTCTATGGTATTGTTTAGGGAATAATGACAAGGAAAAGAGCCTGTCCATGTTGAGTACAGACAGATTTTTTTCCCCAAAAATATTTTCACAGTGGTTGCTCAAATCTACAGATTGAGAACCCATGGATATAGACATGGAGGGCCAGTTCTTTTTGAGAACTGGTATCTCAAGAAACACACAAATTATTAAATTCTATTAGTGAAGAAATAGGGTATAAAAGCAAACTCTAACCCAAAACTATATTATAGGTGATTCATTATTTGGAATTATTATACGTATTCTATTATTATAACAGCTAAAAACCTTTAAAATAAATTAACACATGTAATTACTTAGCTCAACCTTTCCCATATTTCTTTAAATGCTGAGATAAAGATTCTAGTGCTCTAGAACATATGAAATATTGCTTATTGAGAGCTTTCAATATAGTGTTCCTGCTCAAGGATGAACCCAAAAGACAAGATGACACTGAGCAGGGACTCTGGGGATCAAACCCAGTGATACAAACTCACATTGAACAATAATCTATACAGCACTCCATCTGGTAGGCTCTCAAAGTTTACATAGTGAATGGGAATAACCAAATAGAGGAAAAACTGCTACTTACAACTACAACTGTCTTCTGAGGGGGAAGATTCTRTTATTGGAGGGTGCCTGTCTTCGTTCTGCTGATTGGTTTAAATATTCAGAGGGAAATCAATTCAGAAGGAGTTGACTACAGAGGCCAGGAAAGGCCAAACTGCTCTGCACAATAGTGAAAAGACTTCAGAGAGGGTTAGAGAACCAGCCTGAAAATCCAGAGTGGAGAGAAGATTTAAGAAGAAGGGGAGTTGGGAGAGTGGGGAAAAAAGGAGAGAGGCTAGCAAGATGATGTGAAGAAGGAGTAAAATGATTCCCTGTAGAGGGGCTGGGTGGCTCAGTGGTAGATTATAAGCATGCTCGAGACCCTGGGTTTGATCCCCAGTGTCCCTGCTCAAAATACTAAAAGTTCCCTGTATATACTTCTATTTTGTGCTATCTTGAGGATACACCCTATCAGAGACCCTTTTACAGTAGAACAACTAGATTTTCTATTTTTTTTTTTTTTTTTGGTACCTGGGATTGAACTCAGGGATGCTTAACCATTGAACCACATCCCCAGCCCTTTTTATTTTTTTTATTTTTGAGACAGAGTCTTGCTAAGTTGCTGAGGGCCTCGCTAAATTGCAGAGCCTGACCTTGACCTTGTAATCCTCCTGCTTCAGCCTCCTCAATTGCTGTGATTACAGGTGCATTACACAATGCCCAGCCTAGATCTTTCATAAAATGTAATTCTGATGCCTTGATGGAGTTGTAGTAGTTCATGCAAATTATGTATTTAAAGAATGCATGTGAGTTTGCCTACATGAGAAAAAGAAAACCCTGAAAAGAGGGCAGAGGTGACTCTGAAGGCAGAGCTGTCAAGGTGGAAACGAAGCCATTGGGAAGGAGGATCAAACATAGAACTTCTCAGTTCACACATGTTGTTTTGTGTGTTTTCAGATTAATAGTAACACGTCATCATAAGGCTGGGGTTGTGGCTCAATGGTAGAGCGCTTGCCTAGCATGTGCAAGGCCCTGGGTTTGATCCTCAGCACCACATAAAAATTAAAATAAAATAAAATAAAATAAAATAAAGGTATTATGTCCAACTGCAACTAAAAAGATAAATTAAAAAAAAAGAGTCATAAGTCATTACTTACAATGTGGTGTCTTTACACAAGACACTTAGCAATTTCGTTTGTGGGCTTATGCCCTGGAAATACTGTCACTCCTAGGCTCAGGAGTTAGTATGGGAATGTTCACTTTAACAGCTGTCTGTTGGAAAAAAGAATGAGCACATACACCTGCCAAATTCTCCCACTAGCGTCTCTGAATGCAACACAATGGTGACAAGTAACACACTGCAGCTACAAGCTGTAAGCAACTTAGAAATGCATGAAACCAGACTGGGGATGTGGCTCAAGTGGTAGTGCGCTCGCCTGGCATGCGTGTGGCTTGGGTTCGATCCTCAGCACCACATACAAAGATGTTGTGTCCGCCGAAAAACTAAAAAATAAATAAAAAAATTCTCTCTCTCTCTCTCTTAAAAAAAAAAAAAAAAGAAATGCATGAAACCTAGAAATGCAATGGGCAGTGAAAAAAATAAGTTATAGAAGACAATATATAGTATGAAATCAGTTTTTTAAAGTTCAAAGACAAACTACATTGTTTAATAAAAAACATGTGACAAACTGTTTTCACAAAGGCATTGGGCAGATTTGTAGGGTTCAGGTGGAGGTAGGAGGTGAACTGGGAGGAAGCACACGGATAAAGGGTATATCCTGGGCTCCATAGTATGTTCCTGGGTATCATAAATCATACATGTAACACGGGTAGAATATACCTATCAAATATCACATAATAAAAAAAACCCTAAAAATCATTTAGAAAAAAACCAGTTCCTTGTGATGTAAAGGCCAGACTTTTTATGAAAAAAACTGGCAAATGTTCAGGATAAAGATGTTTTTCCTGCTAAAACATCATAAAATAGCAAGGGATCCTTTTAATGAGTTACCTTTAGTAGAAGCAGGCATTTGGAGGGAGAGGTCTCTATGGGAATGTCAAATCTGGAGCAAAGTTTCAGATTCCCACAGGAAATAGCAACTAACTCTCAGGAGGCAGGGAAATTCAGCTGTAACTGGAGTAACCCAGATGTTCACATCAAGCACTGTGGTTAAAAACACAGCTTGGAAGTCAGGCTGCCTGGCTCTAAGTCCTTCCTAGCTCTGTGATACTGAGCAAGTTGCTTAACTTCTCTGTGCCACAGTTTCCTCATCAGAAAAATAAGAATTGTATGTCAGGAGAGCGCGTTACCGCTTGAGCCACATCCCCAGCCCCCATGTAATAACACTGTGAAATAAAGAATAAATAAGTTACTACATGAAATGTGACAACAACAGTGCCTGGCACATAATATGCACTCAAAAATATTCTTTGTATTTTTATATTTATTCAAGAGGAAGCCAGTTCTGTCCCAAAGCATAATTACCACCAAAAATTCAACAGTAATTATATTTTATAGTTAAGTTCCCAAAATAACCATTTGAATCAAACTGTTTGTTGATCTAAAACAGAACAAATTTGGATCTCCAAAGAAACTGATATATTTCTCTTTTTTTGAGCATATAATCTGTTCAAAACACTGGAAATGTAACAAAGAAACTGTTTACTCTTCTTAATTGGTAAATCAATATTGCAAACATTATCTCAAGTCTACATGCGTCAGTTACTGCCAATATAAACTTGAATGAGATATGGTCTCTGCCTTCAAGAGCAGAGAGCTTAGGCACAGCTGCTAAAATTCCCCCTTATCCCCAGAAGATATGTGCAAGACCCCTGAGCCTGAAACCAGAGATAGTCTGGAATCCTCTGTATACTATGACTTTTCTTGTACATCCCTACCATAAAAAAGTTTAATTTATAAATTAGGCATAGTAAGAGAACAATGGCAACTTATAAAAAAAATAACAAAAATAACTCTGTACTATAATAAAATTGCCAGCATTGCTACCCATACTCCGAAGCCACATTAAGTAAAGTAAATCCTTATTGTACACAAACACTGCATCCTTGACATGTGATAACCAAGATGGCTACTAAATGACTTGACGGGCAAGTAGTGCATACAGTGTGTATACATTGGAAAAGGAAAGATTCATGTTCCAGACAGTGGGGCAGAGCAGGACAGAATGGGATTTCATTGTTCTATTCAGAATGGTATGCGATTTAAAACTTATGGTATTTATTTCTAAAATTTTCCATTTAATATTTCTAGACCATAGTTGACGAGAGTAACTGAAACCACAGAAAATAAATCTGCAGATAATGGGGGCTACTGTATTATAGTGTGTATTATTTAGCAAGATAAGAAACTTAGGAAGAAGAACAGGTCTAGAGAAAGGTTATGAGCTCAATTTTGTTGTATGTGTGTGGGGCATCCAGGTAAGAAAATAAAATGAAAAGTTGAATTATCTGGGATTTAGGAGTTAGGTTAAGACAAGGAAGCCTAAGAGTGAGAAGAGGGCTGTGTGTGATGGCTTCTACATGTAATCCCAGTTACCTGTGAGGCCGAAGCAGGAGGATCATTTGAAACTACAAATTTGAGACCAGCATGGGCAACCCCTGCAAGTCAAAAAAAAAGAAGCAGCAGCAGCAGCAGCAGCTTCAAGAAGGGGGGTGTGATCAGTATTGATACATCATGAGCCCATCTTCAAATGCTGCAGAATGACCAAGGGAAAAAGGCAGCCAGTGTCTAGTGGGTTTGTTTCATGGAAGGCCCTCTGTCTGTTGAACTTGTGGGTCAGAAGTCACCTTGTCACAAGGAGAGACTGGTGGGATGAGGAAGTGGCCAAAAAGATGGCCAGGGAGAGAAGCAGAGATACATTAGAGGGTAAAAGTGGTGTGAGGTTGGGAGTTGTATTTTGTGCTCCTAGAAGTCAGAGCCACTGCAATGGTGAACACACACTACAGTGACTGAGGCAAAGGGCTAAAAGGGTGCCAGGGCCCAGGATGAAGGGCTATTGCACAAGTAATTGCAAAGTGTTACAGAGTCACGGGGGAAATCAGCACCAGGCTAAAGGACTCTGGGAGGCCTTCACAGAGGTGGTGCCCCAGAAGCAGGCAATGGGGTGAGGACATGTCTGCCGAGGAGGATGTGGTGGGAAGGGGTCAATGCAGCTGGTACATCACAGGTACAAGGGCACAGAGATTAGAAGGGGAAAGCTTGTTTCAAGAATGGCAATTTGTGCAATGCAAGGAATGCACAGGAAGGGCCAGGGAACAGGAGGCAATGAGGCAAGAAAGCTGGGTGGGGCCAGACTGGTGGTGAGCCAAGTAGTGTGGCCTTTACTGAAGGATTTTAAGTGGGATGATTAAATGGTCAGATTAATGCCTTGGAAAGGACACCCTCCTGTGGAGGGCAAATTACCAGAAAAGGCTAAGGAACAGATCCAGGAACATGGAGGGTTGGGAAGAGAGGAGGGGATAACATGAGCAGTGTTTTTTTTTTGTTTTGTTTTGGTTTGTTTTGTTTTTAAAGAGAGAGTGAGAGAGGGGAGAGAGAGAGAGAGAGAGAGAGAGAGAGAGAGAGAGAGAGAGAGAGAGAGAGAGAGAGAGAGAGAGAGAGAGAGAGAGAGAATTTTATTTATTTTTTAGTTTTCGGCGGACACAACATCTTTTGTTGGTATGTGGTGCTGAGGATCGAACCCCGGTCGCACGCATGCCAGGCGAGCACGCTACCGCTGAGCCACATCCCCAGCCCACATGAGCAGTGTTTTGAACATGGTATCAATGGAATGAAGTCACAGTAAAATGTAGAGGGCAGAGGAGCTGAGCCTTCAAGGGATGACTCTAGGACTGGGCTTACACATTTAGGCAGATCATCAGCTGACAGTGATTATGGGAAAGAACAAGTGAGCAAGGGTAGAGCACAAGAAAGATCAAGAAATAATGAGTTCAACTTTAGACCAAAGCATACCATATTCTGGAGCACAAAACTTAGCAAACATAAAAGAACAAAATCATACAAAGTATATTTTTTGAACCTAATGAAATTAACTAGACACCAATAGCAGAAAGGTAATCTGGGAAACCCCAAATATTTGTAAATTAGAAAATACTCTTCTGGTATGGTTAAAAAAAAGAAAAAAGAAAAAGAAAATACTCTTCTAAAAAGCTATGGTGAAGAGACACTAGAAAATACTCTGAACTAAATAAAAATATGGCATATCAAAATCTGTAGGATGCGGCTGGGGTTGTGGCTCAGTTATAGAGTACTTGCCTTACATATGTGAGGCACTGGGTTTGATCCTCAGCACCACATAAAATGAATAAATAAAATAAAGGTATTGTGTCCATCTACAACTAAAATGAAATAAAACAAAAGAGACTGTAAAGAACTAAGATTGTACAATGAGACACTATCACTGAGTAGCTAACTAAGGCATATGAATTGCAGAAGATCAGAAAAGGCTAGGCCTGTGATAGCCTAATGCAGGAGTCTGTAAACTTTTTCTGTACAGAGCCAGAGAGTAAATATATCCGTTTCTGCAGGCCAAGAGGTAAAATCAAAGACATTATGAGGATACTTCAATATGTGAGGATAGAAAATGCCTGATCCATCTAGACCTAACTGCCTAGGGTGAACCATTTGAGGTCCAAAAGAAATATACTCGGGAGAAAAAGCTACAAGTCWACAAGGGAGGGTCCTGGTGGTCAGGCTAACAGGTGGAGGTAGCCCAGATCAGTTTTTTTCCCCAATAACCTTCAGACCCAGAAGAATCATTCTCTACTCCTGAGAGCCTGGTCAACTCAATTTGGGCAGCTTGCTGGAAGTGGAGCTGTTTCATGTCTCAGTGTGTAGTATTTACCAACAATCCCCCCTGTGCCATGGCCACCAGGGCAGGCCCTGGGAAGCAATGCTGGGAGTGGAAAAGAAATGGGGAAGGGGTGGAGTGGATCTCCGGCTTGGTCTCCATGACTCACACAGCATTAGCCTCCTTAGTTGAAGCCTGGGCCTTGAAAAAGCATGCGGCAGGCCAGATTTGACCCACATGTTCCTGCTCTAGTGCCCCTAAAAACTGATAAAAGAAGCTTGAAGGACTACCTTAAAAATGCAAATAGCACAGAAACTGTTACAATCAAAATGAAAGTTTCATATTTGAACTCAATGTTCCCTTTTATGCCCACATTATTTTAAATGAGGTTATGAATAACACTTCACACACCTCCTCCTTTCTTCAAGTTCACTACCAGTGGTAGTAAATGTAAATACTGCTTTTCCTTAGACTTTTCCTGAGTCATAGAAGTTTCACTTCTGGAAATAGAAAGTTCTCTATTTTCAGATGGGTTAAATGACACTACTTTTCTGAGAACTTACTATTCTTCCAGCCTTAGAGCCAAGAACTAGAAGTGGATGCTATGACTTATCAACACATCAAAATAAGAGATGAGGACAGAAATAAAGATCAGTCATCGCCTGGGGTCGACAGAACCTACCCTGATAAATTCTTTCATCCTCTTCAGTGACATAGGCATTAGCTCCCCAAATCACCATCTTATTGATGTAAGATGGATATTTCGCAGCAGCAAAGAGTGCAGTGATGCCACCGTCACTCCATCCCAGCAGAGAGACCTTCTTAAACTTCAGCGTCTGTGAGAAATACAATGAAAACCACAGCAGAGGTTATTGCTCCTTCCTGCTAAAAGAACCTGAGATTAAAAAATGATCAGAATCAATACGGGGGCTCTGGAGTATCAAGGATGAATCCTAGCTGGGTGCGAGGATAAATGCCTGTAATCCCAGCAACTAAGAATGCTGAGGCAGGAGGACCGCAAGCAACTTAGTGACACCCTGWATCAAAAGTAAAACTAAAAAGGGCTGGGGTTGTGGGTCAGTGGAAGAGCATCCCTGGGTTCAATCTCCAGTACCAAAAGGAAAAAAAAAGAAATCCTAGAGTCTACTACTTGGTAACAGTGTTTTCTTTTAATTAGTTTGGGTGAAAATATAATTGTCATAGGATTTGAGTACAGCTGTTTTAAATTATGAGGGAATTACATCTTCTGGTTGGATAAAATGTCAAGGGAATAGAATCAATGGAGATCAGCTGTATTTGGATATGACAAATTGCATATGTGCCTGCGTGCGCATGTGCACTCCTTAAACAAGGATTTGAGAGCAATTATATGGATTATAGAGGGGACCTGAGGTTTCTTGGATGAAATGAAGTAGGACATCTGGTGAAGCCACAGACTGCAACTGTGGGAACAGACCACGAGAGATGGGTTGAGAGAGAAGAGTGTCACCGGGTTGCAGGTCCTTGGGTGAATTAACCAGGGCATGAATTTGTGTTTGGCAGAGAAAACTGACAAAGATTATGTTTGAGAGATGTTGCCTAGAATTAAAAGTAGAATGACTGAAAATATTAAAGTTTTAAAAAACAAATATTAGTCCAAAATATTTGCTGATGGGATTATATATTAGCATAACTACTAGAGGTAATAATTTGGTACTAACTCATAAACATAAATATTTATATCTTCTATAACCCAGCACATTTCTCCTAAATTTGCATGAAATTCTTGTACACATGTGCCAGGAGATGGGTCCATTAAGTCTGCAACAACCTTGTTTAAAATAGCAAAAAAGTAAGAACCAAAATGTCATGACAACAGAATGCTCAGTGTACTAATGTTTATAATTTAAAAAAAAACGCAACTTAAAAATTAAGTCCTATTGTTATCTACCATTATATAACAGATGAAGTAAGACACGGTGCATCTATACAGTGAAATGCAGTTACTTTCCCTCTTATCTCTGGGGAACACTCCCATACACTTCCAGACTACTGGTAGATGCCTGAAAACAGTGCCAAGCATGCTATATTTTATCCTATACACACAAAGGATACAGGATGGATATACTGGACAAAGGGATGATTCATGTCCCAGGCAGGATGGAGGGGATGGAGCAGAACAGTGCAGGATTTCATCATACTACTCAGAAAGGTGTTGAAGTTAAACTTAGGACAGTAACTACACATTAACAAGAATAGAAGAAAGTATTTTGAAAGTTTTCGCCATAAAGAAATGATGACTGTTTGAAAAGAGAGATGTTAAACATGATTTAAAAAATATGCAGTGTATAAAAATCATGTCATCATTAATATTCATATATGTGTGTGCATGTGTGTGTGTGTGTGTGTGTGTGTGTATTTTTTCCCCCAGTGCTGGGAATCAGATCTAAGGCCTTGAGAATACTAGGCAAGCACTTTACCACTGAGTTATATCCCCAACCAATATGTACATTTTCTGTATTTTTATGTACCAGTTAAAAAAAATTAAATTGAAATTTTAAAAGAGTAAAAAGCAACTTATGACTTATTTCTGGAATTTTCCACTTAATATTTTCGGACCATAGTTGACCATAAGTAACTGAAACCATGGGTAAGAGGAGACAAGTGTGGCAGGCACCTATTATAAAACAGATGCAAAAGCATGTTTATTGACATGGAAGTATCTTCTTTGGAAATTGTTCAATGAACATAGTATGTTAGAAGAACATCAGGAATAGCATGATGCCATCAATACAAAACTGTGTGTTTATATTTATCATAAGACTGGTCAGAAAGACAAAGTCTTAAAGTATTAATAGTGGTGTCTCTAAATAGCTTGATTGTGGAGTATTTCTACATTCATCTTTACATCTATTTGAATYATTTGGACTTTCTGTAGCAATCACATGAGGTACAGCATTTGTAGAAAGAAAAAACAACAAAAACTGAGCAAAACAAATGAAGACAGGCCCAGCCACCAACCCTTCCCTGAGGACCTACCTTCATCAAATCAACAGCATCTTTTGCATCCCTTTCAAAAAAGTCCGCTGGGAAGTCTCTATCTGGGGGTCTGGAATGTCCATATCCTCGAGGATCCCAGGCCACCACAGTGAAGAGGTTCTTATTTAGGCTTTTAAGTTGGGGTGCAAAATCAGTCTCTCCGCTTCCTGAAAATAGCCACTTGGTTATGCCCTGGTGAATTCTTTCATTATATGAAACACATCAGAGAGAAAACAGAAGCGATAGCAATTTTAAAAGAAAGTAATTAGTGTCTATTCAAAGTAAGCCACAGGAACATAATCAAGAAAGTAGTCTTACAAGGATTGAATCCATTTACCCAGAGGCAGATAGACTTCCTTTCTTAGTGAAGTTCAAACCTGCCTTCGATCGTCCCCTAGTGGACATTCTGAGAAGGACAGGGGCTGGCCTTCATTTAGTCCAGTATTCAGCAACCCCGCCCCCTTTTTTCCTAAAGAATTAATGGAACTATACAGAAATTAACTTATAGCTATGTTATACTTCTAGATTTTTTCTTTTTAAAATAAATGACTTGACAAATGAGAAAGATCCCAATAAATTCTGTAAACAAATTTGAGATTTGAGTCAAAATAGAATTCTAAAATTCTGGATTTTTTAAAAACTAAGATGATGTGAATAGCTCTGAAGATTTTATTTTGTAGTTACAATTAATACTAAAGTGAAACACTGAAATGGTGGTGGTGGTGGTGGTGGAAGAAATCAAGTGGCATCAAAATAATACAGAAGGTGGGGCTGGGGATGTGGCTCAGGCGGTAGCGCGCTCGCCTGGCATGCGTGCGGCCCGGGTTCGATCCTCAGCACCACATACCAACAAAGATGCTGTGTCCGCCGAGAACTGAAAAATAAATATTAAAAATTCTCTCTCTCTCTCTCCTCTCTCACTCTCTCTTTAAAAAAAAAAAATACAGAAGAGTTTATACTAACAAGTAGAACTGTTTTTTTTTTTTTTTTTTTTTTTTTTGGTGGTCCTGGGGATTGAACCCGTGGCCTTGCACATGCCAGGCAATCATTCTACCAGTGAGCTGCACACCTAGCCCAGAACTATGTTCTTAAACCCATGGTAGCTTCAACTGGCTGTCCCCAGCTCGATGTAGCCATTCATGGTGTTGTGTGCTCATACCCACTACAGAGTGGAAGGTTACTATAAAGAGCWCAGTACAGGGGCAGATCACCAATTTACTGGTAAAGTCAGTTTGATTTCTGAGGACTCAGACTTCAGGCCACAATAAATATTAAACACCTTGCCTGATGAACTAGCTTCATTATAGAGTGTTTCTAGACGGAGCAGGATCACTTAAAATCATCAAAATCCATCATTCTTGGTAAGGCACTGCTTCTTCGAGATCAGGGAAATCATTCAGGAAACCCAGGCCAAAACCAAATTGGTGATTTCCAGCCTAGGTCTACTACTCGGCTCCCCTTATGTCCCTTGGCTGGAAGGACTTCTGGTGGAAACTATCTTGAAGGAGGAGCAGAAGGTAGAGAGATGGGAAAGGGAGCAGGATAAAAGATCAATTTCAGAAATAATAAGATAATGAGACACGTGTTTTCTGGCAAATATGTATATATTTGAAGACCAAGGCCAYACACACACACACACACACACACACACACACACACACATACACAYATGTATATTATTATTATTATTTTTTTAACTAATACATGATACCTGAGTAGCCCATGGGGAAGGGATCAGGATCAGGGGGGCAGATAGGAAACTCACTGTTTTATTTTTAAATTTTGGAAGCATGTTAATGGTTTTACATAAATAAAAATTGGTATGTTTTTGTACCTGGTTAATGATCATTAATACTAAAATAATGGAAATTCTAACCTGGTAAGTTGTTGTTGTGACAGATGACTTTAGCTTGACATTGGTTATTAGAATAAATGTCCTCCTTCATTACAATAGCTTAAGAAAAAAAAAGAAGGTACTAAATACTAACTAGGGCTAGGGATGTGGCTCAAGCGGTAGCGCGCTCGCCTGGCGTGCGTGCGGCCCGGGTTCGATCCTCAGCACCACATACCAACAGAGATGTTGTGTCCGCCAAAAGCTAAAAAATAAATATTGAAAAATTCTCTCTCTCGCTAGACTCTCTCTCTCTCTCACTAAAAAAATAAATAAATAAATAAGTAAATAAGTAAATAAATAAATAAATAAATACTAACTAGACAGAGATTCCTCACTAGCTACCACGGTACCACATCAGCGGAGGCTTGATCAAATAGAAACATCAATTAACAAGTTTTAGTAATTTATTTTTAGGAGAAAGAAACAAACCACAAGGAAGTATACATAGGATTATTTAACTAAACCAAGAATAAACAACAATACTAAATCCTATAAAACTAAATTCTAGATGTCCTAGGATCCCTGTGTATCTTCTCTCACTTTCTACATCTGGACTACTGTTCTGTAAAGTGGGATTCAGATCCAGAGGGCTTACTGTGCCCCACATTGAGAGAGGGTAATACGATAATCTAATTTTGATTTTTTAAATTTTATTTATTTATTTTTATGTGGTGCTGAGGATCGAACCCAGGGCCTCACATGTGCTAGATGAGAGCGCTACTGCTGAGCCACAACCCCAGCCCCTAATTTTGATTTTCAAAAGGACCTTAAGCTTATTTTTTCTTACTTTTTTTTTTGGTGCGTGGGGGAGTGAAACCGGGGATTTAACCCAGGAGCACTTTATCACTGAGCTATATCCTTACCCATTTAAAATTTTTAATTTGAGATTGGGTCCTGCTAAGTTGCTGAGGTTGGCACTGTGATCCTTCTGTCTCAGGCTCCCAAAGTTGCTGAGATGACAGGTGTACGCCACCACGCCCAGCTCTTATTTCTTATTTTAACTGAACATATCAACCAGAATAGAGAGCATCTGTCCTGGTTTTAGCACTGTAAGTCCCACAACCTTGAAAACTTCTTGATGCCAGGAAACTGGGATGGCTAATCACCCACTCACCTTATTCCTTCATCTACTCCTTCCCACACCCTTTCCTTGACCTCTCACCTTTGGTTTCACAGTATACCCACGTAGGAAAAAACTGGGTATATAAAGGAATACAAAAAACATGATAGAAAGTTATCTACTTTTCTAAATCATGCATTTGATTTTAGCAAATATCCCTTAAAACAGTCTGGTAAAGCACTAAAATTAATCAATATTTGGCAACTAGTATCATGACCCTATCAGAGAGATTATACAGCATGCCAAAGGATTCCATTAAAAATTGTCAGACCCAACATCCCAGGAAGCAGCAGGACTGCATGTTCGCCCTCTCCAGTCTGCTGATAATGCAGGTGAACGCCATTCACAGACACTTTGGCAGAGGTTACTGTTCTGGAAGAAAAAGAAATCCCCAAAGGAAAATTAATTAACACAATATGTTTATCAATTTAATATGATAAGACTGCTCTTTTACATGCATGAATCAGTTCCAGTACCCCTCTCAAGCTTCTTGGATTATTTTGATTTGTGCCTTAACTTTCCATTCCTAAACAGTGACATGAGTTTGTATCTTCTTTAACAGACTACAAAATCAACTGTATTCATTTTTCAATATACTGCAGCACCCAGCCTGGGCCCACCCTACACGAGCACTGAAAGGTTTGCTGGATTCAGTGGCTACATGTACAGGCCTAGGGCACATGTCCAGGAGCTAGAAGTCAGTGGTGCCCACGTGCAGGCTGATGTGGGGCACCAGAGACACAGAACCTGGAATCATTTTCTCCTCCTCAGCAGCTTTACAGCAGCTATCAGAATGTTCAGCAGTATTGGTGGCATTCCYGAGGACAAGACTGATCCCAGGAGTTCCAAGGAAAGGCCCTGGTGATCTCAGGGCATCTGGTGTCATCTGATCAGAAGCAGGAGGGCTCTAATCAGAAACACCCAACTGCATTCACATGGACTTGCTGGTTTTTAAGATGCTGAAATATTCCTGTGTTGACTATTAAGAAGTCATTTTCATGGTCCAGCATCTAACTAGACACTAATTGGCACAGGACAAGGCCACCACCAGCATCTGTCCTGCCTGAGGATGCAYGGGCTGTACAGGTGTTCTCAGAGGCTCTTCTGGAAGCTCCAGAATAGACTGTCCAAGGATATACACTAGCACAGCACCTACAAGACCCCTGCACCGATTTGCCAGACAGATAACTTAGGACCTGATGGCAAACTAGGAGAGGTGCTAGGAGGAGCCACTCCTCTTCTAGTGGACTGTCAATAAAGTAGAATCAACTAATCTTCCTTTTTCTATTACATACTCCTCACCTGACCACTGCCCTTGGTCAAGATGGCTGCTCAAATATACGCTTTTGAAAAAACAAGGTCCTGTTTCTTCTTTCGGTTTCACCTGATTTGCCAATTTCAAGTAAAAACAAAATGCAGGAAAAAAAWTTGAATATTGCTGTATCTAATTGTAACACACACTTGTCTGTAAAATTATGACAGAAATGGGAAATAAGAAGTCCTGATATAAGCTCATTTCAGAAATATCATTAGAGGAGCAACAATCATGCCATCAAGTGGTTTTAGTATAATATGTACTCTGCCAACTTACTTATTATTAACTTCTTATTCCTCTGAGGAATTAATTTTTATTGGTAGGATGGCTTTAGATATCTTGGGCTCAGGATAAAAACAAATAAATGTACTTTACTAGTAAAGACTCATTTTAGTAAATGGTCATTTATTGGTGTATATTTGCTCATAGTCTAGAAGGAGAGATGATAAAGACAAAGGATTTACTCTGCAAACCCTCAGGGAGGCAGTTATGACTGAGGAAAAAGGAGCTTTGAGGCACCTGGATGGGATAAAAGTCCTTATTCTATTTCCTGTGTTGCCTAAATTAAATGAAGCCACTCCCTGAACAGAAATGACTACCATCCGTGCAGCTCACATTAGCAATAATGTGCACCATACCATTATTCCCTTTATTACTCCTGTGCCCTAGAATTTTTAGGAGCTCCCTTTCCTGCAGCRCCAAGAACATGCTCATGAAAGTTACATTGCACTGTGAGGATATTATGCACGATGAAAGTGTCCTTCCCTCACCCTCCTCCATGTGCAAAGCTCATCAGTTTTCAGGACTGGGTGTTGCTGCCTTAAGCTTTCTGCATCTCTGCAGRGCAGAGACTCACAGGCTTTTCCTCAGCTTCCATGATCACTCCCAAGTCTCTGCTGCAAAATACAAACAAAACTAACTTCCCTCTGCGCTTGGTAGTATCTATGTTTTGATTCCCCATTCCAAACTTCTCTAATTATTACCATCACATGTTCTCTTGGTTACCTAAAAGGAATAGGGAGATAAAAACAGGCAGTCTTGATTTTAGCATAATGGCAACTCAGTGTCAGGGAAGAATGTTTAAAGGGAGACAGAGATCATATCAGGGCTGGGCAGAGGGATCTAAAAGGAGCTTTGGAGATGAACTTCCAAAAATGGATCAAATTCTGAAAAGAAAATGTGGTGGGAAGGGCATTTCTGGAAGACAAAAATAGTCTGATCAATGGCCCAGGAGCAAGGGACATCTGTGGGGACAAGCTCATGTTCAGCTAGCAAGAATATGAAGGCAGCTCTATGGTGGGGGCCTGCAGCTAGGCTGGGGGAAAGACACTGCCACACTGCTTTGTCTTCAACCACCCTATATGTTGTTGCACCAGAGGGACCTGTACTGTCACATCAGCCCATCCCAAGGGGTTAATGGAGTTTGACAAAAACCTTTCATGAATCTCTAAGCTGGAGGAAAAGGAATGAGGACTATTTGTGAACAAAAGCAAATCAATATCAAACATAAGAAAAAGGTTTACTTTTAAAGATAACAGTTACTGCTGGGCATGGTGGCATATACCTATAATCTCCAGTGACTAAGGAGGCTGAARCAGGAGGATCACACATTTGAGGCCAGCCTCAGTCACTTAGTGAAATCCTCAGCAATATAGCAAAACCTGTCTCAAAATTAAAACATATGAACAAACAAAAGGACTGGGAATGTACTCAGTAGTAAAGCACACCCCTGAGTTCCACCCCAATACCGTTAAAAAAAAAAAGACAACAATTATTGTTTACTTTCACAGAAATATAACTGAAATGAGTATAGCACTTTTCTTCCAGATTATCTTAGAGTTGCAGTCAGGCCTTGGAGTAACAGTTATGTGCATGTTGTAAGAAAATCAGGCCATAAAGACCAGGCCTTCAATGGCCCTGCTGTGTGTTTATTACTTGAACCACATTCAAGAYACCAAATTTCCCAAAACTCTCAGGGAGGAAAAAAAATAGAAAACTTCAGAAAATTTAGAGACAAAAATTATAGGCTGTGGGGTATAGCTTAGTGGTAGACCATTTGCCTACTCTTATGAACAAGGCCCTGGGGGTCCTGAACTCACAATCCTCCTGCCTAGGGCCTTTGAATAAACAATAAAGAAAAAATACTAATCCCTTCCTCTTTGGCTGTCAGTTTGGTTTTTCCATCTCTTCTTCCCTCTTATTAAATTGCATCTCTAACCCAGGTATTCTGAAATGGTTGTGYTGTTTAGAATCACCAGTGGAGACTTAAAAGCATGCCTATAACAATCCTGAAAGACATTCAATAACTCTGTGGCAGTGCCCTGGTTWTCTGCTTTCAGAAACATTAAACTCCACCATTACCATTCATTCATTCATGCACATCCTGAACACCAACCTGGTGCTGGGCACTAAAGTTATGCTGTCATGTAGTTTGGAGGCTAGCAGATGGGTAAACAGCTGGCCACCAGCATTTACCATGCAGTGTGTGGAGTCTTATGAAAGAGAAGCCAGGGGAGGAGACCCTAGGATGTGGGTGAGAGTCATCAAGTTCAACCCCCTACACAACACCTCCATAGCTGCCCACTTGTCCCCACCTTCTTTAAAAAATATTTTTTAGTTGTCAATGGACCTTTATTTTATTTATTTATATGTGGTGCTGAAAATCAAACCCAGTGCCTCACACATGCTAGGCAAGTCCTCTACGACTGAGCCACAACCTCAGCTCCAATCGTCCCCTTTTTACAAGAGCATTTCCTGTCTCCTACTACTTCAGTGGAACTAGGGATTGAACCCAGGGGCACTCTTCCATTGAGCTCCATCCCCATTCCTATTTTGGATTTTATTTAGAGACAGGGTCTCGCTGAGTTGCTTAGCGCCTCACCATTGCTGAGGCTGGCTTTGAACTCATGATCCTCCTGCCTCAGCTTCCTGAGCCGCTGGGATTATAGGCGTGTGCCACTGTACCTGGCCTCAAACTTCAATTTGAACCATCTTGCAAACTTCTAAATCTGATGCATACACTATGCTTCAATTCAAATCTTTGGGGTGGAAGCTAGGCGATTATATTTTAAAATTTCTTCAGGAGATTCCAATAGGCAACTAAGATTGACAACAACTGTAATGAGTTATTGGAGGGATAATATTATGTTGAACCTAATCTTACCATGGAGGAATCTGAGGATTAGAGAACAAAATAATTTGCCTACACTGTGGTGCTCTGCCAAACCAAGATGAGCACCAGAAGGTCTGACCCAGAGCCTCAGCACTTTGCTTTAGAAATAAAAATGGAGGCCACTTAGTAAGATACAACCTCATTTCAAAAGTCCTAATCATTTATATTCAGCTATTTTATATAAAGTAACCATTAACTACAATAAAGTATTACACACCCCCAGGGCTTTAATTCAAGTGAATTTTGATCACTTATTTTTACTTCTTTTATATTATTATTTGTATCATTACTAATTGAACCTATTAAATACTTATGTCCTAGACCTTTTACATCCATTGTTTCAAATCCACACAAACTGTGCAAGTCAGGAGGCTCAGAGAGGTTAAGTAACTTGGCTACATTGACACAGACAGGAAGTGATGGTAACAGAGCTATCTAAACTCCAAAGGCCAAGCTTTCTCTCTAACTTCATGGCTGAACAGAATCCCCCTCATGGCTCAGGCACTGGGGTAGAACACAGTCTGACTGCCATGCAGGGAGAAGGTGGTGGCAGGCTTCAGGGGAAGGAGGGAATCTGGAACAGGGCATTATTCCAAGATTGAACTCAGAAAATATTTTTCTTCAGGCAGATTGTTAGATGCGGTAAATTGTTAATATTGTAACTGTAATAACATACAATTTCAGGGAGAAAAGACTTTATTTTTTTTAACCTAATCCAGAAACAAATTTCCTTAATTTATTAAATAAGAGTCAAAGTTCCAAATAGACTTACAAACAAGTTTTTGGCATACAACTGAGTTGCACATTGGACACTGGCTGTTAGAAGTTTTTTTTTTTTTTTTTTTTAAATAGGAGTGCTTTTACCAGTTTCATGGGGCTGTGGCCTTGTTTCAGGGTTAACCAATACCACTGCTCATTTTCTCAGATTACATATCAGTTTGCAACTGCATTTATGCACCTGCAGGACAAAACCTGGAGAAACCTGTTTTTCAGAGTTAATTTAGGAAGTGCCACAAGGTGGACAGGGCCTCTATGTAACCATTAAATAACCTATCAGGACTATGATACTGGTACAATCACAGCAACATTATCTCAATCCTTATTTGAAAACAGGAAATCTGGATACAATGTACATTTTCACTGTTGATTTATATAGCTGCATCTACTGACACGTTTTTCCATCTGTATCAAAATAGTCCTGAAATAATAAAACTAAGCCAAATATGAAACTTAAGTACCAGTTAATTACACAATGAAAAATTTAAAAAGGTAGTCAGATTTACCCTCCTATTTTCTTCTTTGAAATTAATAGTTTCTACATAACATCAAATGAAATTCTAAATGCCAGGTACCAACCAAACATTTCATTTTTCCCCACAAGTCATTAATGAAATTGACCCATCAACATTTAACTGCATACATGCACTGTGTGTCTATGAGTGTGAAATGTACATGTGTAGACATATTATGTAAAGAATACAGTAAAGAAAATTTCAGGCCACTTCATCCATATTTTTCTGCGCAGAATCTCTTGGAACCAGGCACCAGGTCAGAGGTTAATCCAGGTTTTTGTTGTTACTGTTTTATCTGTAAARCGGACGAGAGGACTAAGAGAAACAAGCAGATTTTTGGACCTCTCCACACATGTATTTCAGAATCTCTGAGAGTGAGGTCTGGAATTCTGAATATTCATCGGTTCCCAAGATGATTCTCTTGCACATTACAGTTGGAGATAAGCAAATTAAAGACTCAGGAGACTTGGGACTCATGACTTAAGCCTGATCAGTTCTATGCCAGCTAATAGGCCCCAGACATATTCAGGCAGATTTCTGATATAAGAAGTAGGAGAAGGCACTCCTGTAATCCCAAGGATTTTGGAGGCTGAGGCAGGAGGATGGCAAGTTCGAGGTCAGCCACTATCAAGACCCTAAGCAATTTAGCAAGACGGTCTCAAAATGAAAAGCTGGGGCTATACCTCAGTGTGGGAAAAAAAAAAAAAAACCCAGCAGCACAAGAGATTACTATTCTCAACCTCACGATGTAAAGTCTAGAAAGAGGAACCGGCTAAGAACAAGAGGCATGGGCTTACAATATGCTTCCTCACCAGTTAGTTGTGACTAATAGCAAATTTACCTCTCGRGGACCCTGCGTCTGCACACAGACGACCATCTCATCCCCTAAGCTCCAGAATCACAGATGTGAGGCCCAGGCACAGTTCAGGCGCTCACGGAGTGCTYCCGGATGCGGGATCTGGGGAAATGAAGGGCCACAAGGAGGCCAGACCTCGCCSACGACCCCCATCTTTGCAGCCGGGTCCACCTGGGTCAGCGCGCCCCTCCCGCTGCCCCCCAGAGCGCTCAACGCTGAAGCTCCCCGACGGYAGGAGGGCGCCATTACCCGTACGCGGCCTTGCGCCCAGCCGTGGGGACGTAAATCTTGGGCTTCTGAGGCGAGAAGAGCAGCCGCGGTAGCAGCCCGCCTCGGCAACACAGCCTCACCACCATGTTCCTCAGTTGCGCCGCCCTGGAAACGCGCATGCGCAGGACCTTAYGCCCGCCCCTGCTAGCCCCGCCCCGTCCGCCACGCCCCCGAGGCGCCCAGCTGTGCCGGGCCACACCCCTCTGCACCAGCCTCGCCCAGCTTGTGGTCGTGTCCTGCGCCAGCCCGCCACGCCCCGCACACAGCCTTTGCCTAAACCCGTCCGRAGCTGGCGAGACTGGATCTTTTCTTAAGGGCTCTCTGGCCCACAGGCACGAGGTCCCAGTCTATGTCACCTCCTCCTACCTGTTTGCTATAGTGATGACCAAGGCCCCTGGGGAAGTGAGGTCACTGGCCATCCTGCCTTCACCTGGTGGGCACCCAGGTCGAGCTTCTGACAGATTAATTATTAATTAATTAATCCCTGCTGTATAGCTGGTGCTAAAGGTGAGATGGAGTAYGTTCTCATTTAGGGATGGTGGAATCTAATGTTTTGTTTTTGTTTTTTTTTTTCCTGTAAGCCATTTATATCCATTAAGATAGTTACTATTAAAAAAAAAAAAAAAGAAGTTAGTGTTGCTCAAGATGTTGAGAAATTAACATTCTTGTCCACTGCTGGTGGGAATGCAAAATGGCTCAGCTGCTGTGGTCAAGAAGATCTCGGTTCCTTAAAAAAGGTTAAATAGAGAATCACCCTATGATCCAGCAATTCTGTTTTTGAGTACACATCCAAAACAATGAGGGCTTCAGATATTTGTGCACCAGTTTTCATAACAGCATTATTCACAAGAGCCAAAAAGTGGAAGCAACCCAAGTGCTCATCAACTGACTAATGGATAAAATGTAGTGCATCCATGCCATGGAATATTACTCAGCTTTAACAAGGAAATATTTTTTTTAAAAAACTGGTTCTTTTTATACATGACAGCAGAATCCATTTTGATATAATTATACAAGYATGGAATATATTTTATTTTTGGTTAAGAGTCCCATTCTTATGGATGTACGTGGTGGTGGGATTCACTGTGTTGTTTGCATGGTACATGAAAAATTGTCAGATTCATTCCACTGTATTTGTTTATGCCCCCTCCTTCCCTCTATTTCTCATTGTTGAATCCACTTAACTTCTATTCCCCCTCCCACCTCTGCATCTTATTTTGGGTTAGCTTCCACCTATCAGAGAAAACATTCGACCTTTAGTTTCTGCTTTGGTTTCTGGGGACTGGCTTACTTCACTTAGCATGATAGTCTCCAGATCCTTCATTTGCTGGTAAATGTCATAAAGCTATTCTTTATGGTTAAGTAATATTCCAGTGTATTTGTACCACATTTTCTTTATTCATTTGTTGAAGAGCACCTAGGTTGGTTCCATAGCTTAGCTATTGGGAAACTAGCTTTTATAAATTGTGATGTGGATGCATCACTGTAGTACATTGATTTTAACTCCTGTGGATAAAAGGAGGAGTGGGATAACTGGGTTAAATGGTGGCTCCATTCCAAGTTTTTTGAGGAATTGCTATACCACTTTCCAGAGTGGTTGCACCAATTTGCAATCCCACAATGTTTAAGTGTAACTTTTTCTCTACATCTTTGCCAACATTGTTACTTGTATTCTTGATAATTGCCATTCTGACTGGAGTGAGATGGAATCTCAGTGTGATTTTAATTTGCATTTCTCTAATTGCTAGAGATGTTGGACATTTTTTTCATATATTTGTTGACCGCTCACATCTCTTTTGTGAAGTGCCTGTTCAGGTCCTTTCCCCATTAATTAATTGAGGTTTTTTGGGTTAAGTTTTTTGTGTTCTTTATAAATCCTGGAAATAGTKCTCTGAGGTGCAGGTGGCAAAGATTTTCTCCCATTCTATAGGCTCCCTCTTCATGCACTTATTTCCTTTGCTGTGAAGAAGCTTTTTAGTTTGATACCATCCCATTTATTGATAATTGATTTTATTTCTTGCACTTTAGGGGTCTTATTAAGGAAGTCAGTTCCTGATCCTGGATGTTGGAGTGTGCGTGTAGGGTCTCTGATCTAATACCTAAGTCTTAAAAGGAAATCTTGACACATGCTAAATATGGGTGAACCATGAGGACTTTGTACATGAGGTTCCTAAAGTTGTCCAATTCACAGACTAGAATTTGAATTTCCAAGAGCTGCCAGGGTGAGGGGAATGTGGAGTTAGTGTCTAACACACAGTTTCAGTGCTGCAAAATAAAGAGTTCTGTAGCTGGATGGTGGTGGTGAGTACACAGCAATGTGAATGTATTTAATGCTCCTGAACTGAGCACTTAAAATAGTTAAGATGGTAAAAGTTCTGTGTATTTTGTCATTATTTTTTAAGGCATATAGCTTTATAAAGGTTCCAAACATCTACAACTGAAATCTCAGAAGAGAAAAAAACAGTTATACTTTTAAGTCTGGCTACCACTGTAGTCTCCCTTAACTGGGAACACTTGGCAAAATTTGTGGCTACTGTTTTAGCCTTGGCAAGAACAATCTGAGATAATAGCTTCCTTACATATTGTGTTATTTTTCCTCCAAGAGATCCTTCTTGTGTAACTGCATACACAGTACTTTTTTTTTTAATTACTTTTTATTGAAAACTGCACTGAACGCTAAATGACCACCTTTTACAATAAACAAGTACAGTAACGGTAACTCACACTAAAACAAAACATACTTCTGATAGCCATTTTTCCTTTTGGGACAGGTTAAAGTTTTTCTTTTGTCACAAAAACAGGAATGTACCTATACAAAGGCTCAAAATAGGCCATCTTTTTAAACAAAAAGGCAATGATTCACAAAAGACTATGAATAGAACATGTAA